TGAACTTGGAGGACATTATGCTGAGTGAAGTATATCAATCACAAAAGGATAAATATTGTATTAGTCTATTATTGTAAAGGGAGCTCTGGTGGCACAGTGCCTAAGACATTTGACTGCTAACCAGAAAGCTGGTGGTCCAAACCCACCAGCCATTCCTTGGAAGGAAGACTGGGCAATCTTCTTCTGTAGAGATATCACGTCGTAAACCCAAGGAGGGGTCGCTATGAGTCTAATTGACTCGACAGCAGTGAGTTTGGTTTTGGTTATTGTAAAAAAGTCAAGAAAAGGTTTATATATGGTAGGAAGCTTTCCTTTTTGATTACCAGGGATGGGAGAGCAAGGGAGGGAATACTACTAGATACTTAGAGACAAGTATTGATTTGGGTGAAAGGAAGTCAATGTACCAAAAGTGAGTGATCAACACAGTGGCACTGAGGAAGAGGAAGACAGAGAGAGGTACACAAGAGGTATAGACAACAAAGATAAACCCTTTTACATATATAATACTGCATTGTCAGTGATAATAAACATTAATCTACAGGTCAATAGATGGGTAGACTGGTTGAAAAATAGAAAAACAAATAAATAAAGTATGTGAGATGAAATCTTGCCATTCTTGCTTCCAAAGAGCATTCCAGCTATACTTCTTCCAAGATAAATTTGTTTATTCTGCCAGGTCATGGTATTTTCTTCACCAACACCACAATTCAAAGCCATTAAATCTTTTTCGGTCTTCCTTATTCATGGTCCACCTTTCACATGCATTGAGGCAATTGAAAATACCATGGCTTGGGTCAGGCGCACCTTAATCTTCAAAATGACATCTTTGCATTTCAACACTTTATAGATGTCTTTTGCAGCAGATTTGCCCAATGCAATAGCTTGTCAAATTTCCTGACTGCTGCTTTCATGAGTGTTGATTGTGGATCCAAATATGAAGCCTTACAACTTCAATCTCTTCCCCGTTTATTGTGATGTTGCTTATTGGTCTGGCTGTGAGGATTTCTGTTTTCCTTGTGTTAAGATGTAATCCATATTGAAGGCTGTAGTCTTTGATCTTCATCAATAAGTGCTTAAAGTCCTTTTCATCTTCAGCAAGCAAGGTTGTGCTATCTGTATATTGCAGGTTTTTTTTTTTTTTTTTTACCAAATCTCTCTCCAATCCTGATGCCGCATTCTTCTTCATGGTCCAGCTTCTTGGATTATTTGTTCAGCATACAGATTGAACAAGCATGGTAAAGGGATACAACCCTGACACACATTTTTCCTGGTTTTAAACCATGTAGCATCCCCTTGTTCTGTTTGAATGACCACTTCCTGGTCTATTTAAGGTTCTTCATGAACACAATTAAGTGTTTTGGAGTTTCTATTCTTGGCAATGTTATCCATAATTTGTTATGATCCACACAGTCAAATGTCTTTACATAGTCAATAAAACACAGGTAAACATCTTTTTGGTATTCTTTGATTTCAGCCAAGATCATCTGACATCAGCAATGATAGCCCTTGTTCCACATCCTCTTCTGAATTTCTGGCAGTTCTTTTTCAATATACTGCTGCAATTGTTTTTGAATTATCCTCAGCAATATTTTACTTTTGTGTGTGACATTAAGGAGCTCTAGTAGCACAGTGCCTAAGGCATCTGACTGCTAACCAGAAGACTGGTAGTTCAAACCCACCAGCCACTCCACAGAAGGAAGGCTGGGCAATCTACTTCTATAAAGATCTACTGCCTTGGAAACCAATAGGGGTTGCTATGAGTTGGACTCAATTTGATGTCAGTGGGTTTGGTTTTGGTGACATTAATGATATTCAATAATTTCTGCATTCTGTTGGATCACCTTTGTTCGGAATGGGCACAAATATGGATCTCTTCCCATCAGTTAGCCAGGTAGCTATCTTCCAATTTCTTGGCATAAACAAGTGAGCACCTCTAGCGCTGCATCTGATTGTTGAATCATCTCAATGGGTATTCTATCAATTCCTTAGGCCTCGTTTTTTTTTTGCCAATTCCTTCAGTGCAGCTTGCACTTCTTTGAAATCATCTCTAGGTCACTTACAATACCTAATACAATGTAAATGTTGTATAAATAGCACTTTATGCTCCCTCTTAGCCTTTGAGGGATTTCTTTGATCACTTAATTGTTTCTTCCCTTCCCCTGAATAGTTTTGATCCGCAGTTGGTTGAATCTGGGGATATGTAACCCACAGATAAGATATGGAGTGCTGACTGTATTAATATAGACAATAGAGCACACAAGGGGCATAGTCATGGAAACTTCTCAGACATAACCAAACACTTCATAGGATGAACCTCCTAGGCTCAAAGTTGAGGGACCTCTACCTCAACTGGCACAACATAGTTCACAAACCCAATGTTCTGCATACTAGTTTGGTGAGCAGCATCTGGGGTCTTAAAATATTTTGAGTAGGCTTCTGGGATACAACTATTGGTCTCTTCCTATCCAGAGCAAAGGAGAGTGAAGAAAATCAAAGACTAAAGGGAGCAATTAGTCCAAAGATCTAACGGACCATGTGAACCACAGTCTACATGACCCTGAAACCAGAAGAACTAGATGGTATCCAGCTACCACTACTGACCACCCTGATTGGGATCACAGTGGAAGGTCCCAGACAGAGTGGGAGAAAAATGTAGAACAAAAAATCTAATTCACAAAAAGACCAGACTTACTGGTCTGACAGAGACAGGAGGAGCGCCCCCCCCCCCAAGATTATGGCCCTAAAACACCCTGCTGACCTGGAACTGAAGCCATTCCTGGAGACCACCTTTTAGCCAAACAATAGACAGGCCCATAAAATAAATAATAACACCTGAGGGAAAGGTATTCCTTAGAACAATCAATTTTATGAGGTCAAAAGGACAACATTTGCCTAAAAGCAAAGATGAGAAGGCAAGGAATGGTAGAAAATCCTGATGAAAGGAACCAGACAACCCAGGGTGGAAATGGGGAGAGTACTAACCCATTGTGGGGAAAGCAACCAATGTCAAGGAACACTTAACTTACAAACTATTACACGGGGAACTAATTTGCTTTGCAAACTTCTACCTAAAGCACACACACACAAGAAAAACTATAAAACTCTTAGAAGAAAACACAGGGATAAATCTTCATGACCTTGGATTTGGCAATGGTTGCTTAGATATGATACCTAAAGCATACGCAATGAAGAAAATAACAGATAAATTTAACTTCATAAAAATTAAAAATTTCTGTGTATCAAAGAATACCGAAGAAAGTGAAAAGGAAACCCACAGAATGGGGAAAAATATTTGCAAATAATGCATCTGATAAAGGTCTAGTGTTCAGAATATACAAAGAACTCTTACAACTAAGTAAAAAAGATAAACAACCCAATTTAAAAATGAGCAAAGAACTTGAACAGACATTTCTCCAAAGAAGATACACAAGTAGCCAAAGAGCACATGCAAAGGGACTCTGCTTCATTAGTTATGATGGAAATGCAAATCAAAATTATAATGAGATACAACTTCACATCCACTGGAAACAAACCAAACTCACTGCTGTTGAGTCGATTTGACTCATAACAACCCCTCCATGGATTTCTGAGGCAGTATCTCTATGGAGTAGGTTACCTAGTCTTCCTTCCGAGGAGTAGCTGGTGGATTTAAATGAAAAAGATAGATAATAACAAGTGCTGGTGAGAATGTGGAGCTATTGTAATTCTCATACATTATGTGTTATTGTTGCTTTGTGCCATCGAGTATCGAGTAGACCCGACTCACAGTGACCCCTCCTTGGGTTTCCAAGGCAGTATCACTATGGAAGTAGATTGTCCAACCTTCCTAATGGCACAGTCACTGTAAAAAACAATTTGGTAGCTCCTCAACATGTTAAACATATAGAGTTACCATATGACCAAGCAATGTCACTTCTAGGCATGTGCCCAAAATAAAAACAGTTGCTCAAACAAAAACTTGTACGTGAATGGTCATAGCAGCACTATTAACAATAGCCAAAAGGTGGAAACACCCAATATACCACATCAGTGGATGCCCATCAACAGGTGAATGGATACAGAAAATATGGTGCATTATTCAGCCACAGAAAGGAATAAAGTCTTAATACATGCTATAACATGAATGAACCTTGAAAACATTTTGTTAAGTGAATCAAGTCAGACACAAAAGTCAATGTGTGCAAGGTCTTTTGGATAGTGAAAAGGTTCTAGAACTAAATGGTGGTGATGGTTCCACGATACAGTTAATGTACTTAAAGTGAATTTTACACTTTAAAAAGGTTAAAATGGTACATTTTATGTTGTATTTTACCACAATTTTAAAAATGTGTGATTGTTTCATCTTGAAGGATAGGGTCAGGAAGCCTTTTTGTTCGTTTTCAACAGCTAAATCTAAATTCCTTACTCGCATGTAATCTTTCTTTGTGACAATATCTATTTCATCAGTTACTCCGAACTTCTGGTGAAGACGTTCATCTTGCAAAATTTGCTCAATAAATTTCTTTTTCCCCATCATTTGGCAAGCACTAACCATTGCCTATCAAGAGAATAGGAAACAGATTTTAGAAATAGTAGTAAAATAGCAATAATTATCACACTTTACATAGTTTTTCTGACAAATACATAAAATATTATTCTTTTTTTCTAGTAGCTTACTATTGGATACTATTTATAAAGAGAAGATTATATGTAGAATTTTAAACCACTTAAATTTTGCTTCTGTAGCCATATCTACATACTCTAAAAATGCTGCAGAGGAATAAATAGCTGAATCCACAATTCTTAGAGGATCACAGTTTTTTAAAAATCTGGAGTATCTTCCCCTTTAAAAAACATTTGTTTCCTTTAAAAAACAAGATAAGCCTATAACGTTATTTGTGTTGTCAATGCAGGGAAACTTATCTGGTGATTAAATTGGTTATCCTAGGAACTGAAATGGAAGATGTTACTGGGACTATTTTTTGTGTTAGCTAATACATTGCCCTGGAGTGAAAACAGATGTGAAGTCTCTAGTAGGTTTCAGATTGCTTAGGCCTCACTCTCCCTCAGACTTCATTCTCAGTATCCAAACAATTAGGAATGAAGTGTTACTTCTGTATCAAACAAAGGTTTGTTTTTTTCTCTTCTGCCAAAACTCAACATTTTGTACTCAAAGAAAGCACCTGAAAAGGGCAGAAACAGAAGAATCACAGACAATACAAAGGCTTAAATACAGGACTTTGAACAGGTTCTTCCAGGTCCAGTCACAGCCAACAAAGCAAAACCTGCATAGA